AACTTTTGCCAAATGTAGAAAATACTAATATGGAAAAGAGAGGCCACAGAAACGTGTGGGGTCGTCTGCTGTTATCTGGCGTACGAGGCCCCTTCACCTGACGTATAATCAGTGAGTCTTCCACACAAAGAGTTCTTAAATAAAATGTTGACTTCGGTCTATACTGCTGAATGAATTTAACATTTTATTGAAAAAAAAAGGACAGAGGTAAAATAAATGACAACGGTCAGAGTAGTTTTTCCAGGATGCAATGGTACAACGATTTGGAGTTGCAAGTAATAACCAAACATCAGACGCAGGAAATTAACTTAAAAATAATCTGTCTTAAGACAAATTAGACGGCAAGATGGCGTTCCATTTCTATGTTTCTGGGGAGGTGTTGGCCGGTAAAACTACAGTCAACAACATGATGTGGTATAAACATACAGTACATTACTGTCTGATAAGTCCTATACTACATACAGGACAAAACAGAAATGGGACAGAACGTTGAGATAATCAAACGTCTCTGTTTGAAGCCTCTGAGGCCTTAGAGGATACAGACGGTAGTGGAGGATAAGGCACATCCTTGGCTTGGAGTGCTGCTCATTGACCACACTGTGCAGTTACTTTGTAGGCGTGACTGGAGAAGCCTCCCACACTCTAAGGAGCTGTCTGACTGACCAGTCACTGACCAGATGGAGAGCGTGTGCATGCAAGATGGCAGCCACAATGCCACTATTCTCCTAAGCCGAGTGATTACCAGGAGGGAGGGTACGAAGGGGTTGCCCTGACCACAGCTGAGCAGGTGCTCAGAAGATTTGAGCCTCTCCGAGGGTGTTTAATTGGCCGTCCTTCTGAAGTGTCTGCAAACGTGTGAAAAATGCAACGGACCGTTAGCACGTCGCAGTTCGGTCCTGCTGCAGAAACCTGTGGAGCTGCTAAGAGGTCTGTGAAGTAGCTACTGCCTCCTCGAGCTAATGAAAGCATTTAACCAAGTTCAGCAAAATAAAACAGCCCTAGGAATTTCCCTTTTTTAAAAGCTGCAGTGCTTTATGGGAAAGTGACTCCTGGTGCATCATACACCAACCAATTCAGGGGCTTTTTTTTTTTTTTGAGGAAGGACTTATTTCAGAGTGAACAAAAACCAGTGTAACCCAGTTTCTTGGGTCCAAGTATTAAATGGAGCTGGTGTGTAAAAACACGCTGCAGTTGCATCATCTTGGTCTGTCTCTATTATCTGAAAAGAGGATGCATACGACGAAGGGCCCTGCTCTGTGGTCTGTGGTCATCTTTTTTTGTTTGTTTTTTTAAAATAATGACCATGTGCATGTGAAGGATGTTTCATGTGACGCTGCCAGAGTAAACTTCCATTGACATTCAATTTGTCAGCTTGATTTCCTGTGACGATGCTGGAAAAGGTCAGTGTCGTCTATTATTGGGCAAAGCAGGTTTAATGTGTTACCAAAAAGAGTAGAAGTAACAAGATAAACTACTACCTTTAACACTACACCAACAAATGCTGTTCATTCAGTACGGCACTAAACACACACACGTTACAATATACAACGTGAACGCGACATGCAGCAAAACGCCAAAGTTATGTGAAGTATAAATATACCATTGGGATGAAAATATTGGTCTGTAAATGCATTTTTATTAACTGGTGTTAGCTAGTTAGTTACTTGGTTTAACAACAACAATTAGATTCATATTTTAATACCTCCTTCAATCCTTAACCAAATTGAAGGTAGCACTCTGGAATTTTAAACTGCTAAATGGAAGTTAACACAAACTGTTGTTAACGCCTCATTTTTCATCTAACCGCGGCGCCTTCAATGTGGAAGAAGAAGTGCTTTATTTATTTATTAATTTTAGATGGACTTGAACCAAAAATACACAGAGGAAATTCGACTGTGACCATCCTCACTAATATTTGGACCCGATATTTGATATTCACCATAAAAGAAATTACAATGAAACTTGTTTTTAAGTTAGTGATTAAAATCTGCGGCGGGGAAGGAAATCCGCTTTGAGGTACATTCACACTAGATTCCATTTGTCTGATTAATTTGCATGTAATTTTAAGGGACCTTTAAAGTGTAATTTGTAACACATTTAATATATCATTGAAATGAAGCTGTTAACTGTAGCTCCACATATGAAATACAACGAAATTCCTACAAAAAACTGCCTCAAACAACTTCACTCAGAAATAGAAACATGACTTTCAGCTCCGACTGAAGAACCAGGCAGTTGAGGACCACAGCTTACTGTGGTGAATAAGTCTTGGACCATCTGTGACGTCCTGTTGCTCACGAGCATCTCTATACTGATAAGCTCTGAAACTAAACACTAAATCTCTGCCCTCGCACTGTATTTGCTCATTAAGGAGACAGTGGACACTAAAATACAAAAAAAGGGGCTGGGCAAGGAAAAGAACCGAACGCTGTCATTGTGTTGAAGTCAGCAAAGGCCTTGGACTGACTTCAAATGTGCAGTGAGATGGTCAGTGTACAGACAGAGCAGTCATTAGTTTCCAGCTGAGCATATAAGACACGCTCGGAGCTCAAGTTAAGACAGTAATGCAGCTCAGCTCTTAGCAGCTTCGGGGATTGACAGATCGACCCTCCGCATAACTCATCGCTGAAAAGAAAGCTGACTCGCAGCTAGGCCTCCAGACTTGGCCTGTCGCCCCTAGTCCTTGTCAAGTTGCACTAAGATTAGGGCAACTGTGATCTAAGCATCCGTCAGTTATTGGGAAGGAGAAGAAGGTCTATTGACAAAACGTAGACAAGCTGCAGAATGAAGGGATTTCACAGATGGGGGAGCTGTACAGTCTCAGCACTCAGACTGGGCTGAGTCATGCTGTGTTCACAGGACGGGTAAACTCAGCTTCTTAATTTTAAAAGATGCACCTCTGGCATAGATGCACAGATGATAAGTAAAGAGGATTATTTGCCAACAATCCCCAACATTGGCCTCAAAGATTTAGGATGGAAATCTTGGCACACTTGCAGTCAGATGGAGACACAGCATATGGACTCCAACATGTTGCTGTCTAACTGACCAGGTTCCTTTGGGGATAATAAATACCAAGCCCCTAGACCCCCCCCCACAGCCCCCCTACATTTTGCCCGAACCAGTCATAGTGACAAATCTCTCTATTAGTAATCCAAACGCTGTGCCAAAACATTTCGGCACTTAATCCAGACAGCGCTGCAAACGACGGTCCACATTTAAAGGTTTTAGTTGGGGAGGTTCGATGTTGGCAAAACACTGGCATTGCTGTTTGGGGTTTTCATTATTGGAGGAAAAATTGATAACAATTCTTACCGGTTTGTCGATATTATTGGACATCGCTAGGTTTAAAATATATTTGCAACAACGAAACCTATAGCCGTCTTAGTAAAGTAAATACTATTAGAATTGATATTTCATATACCTCCGTGAGTGAACTTCCCAGTGTCTTAACCTTGGACACAATACAAAGTCAAAGTGGCTCAGCCTCAAACTGACTGTGGATACCGGGTCAATGGAATTGGTCACCAAATCTGAGCGTCTCAGACTCTCTGTTGTGATTGGTATCATCACACGGGACAAAACCAGACGCTTGTACAAGATCATCACACGGGACAAAACCAGACGCTCGTACAAGCTTCTTTTTTTCTTCTTCCTCAAAACAACTATTAGTTGCACACACATGGTCAATTCACAAAACACTGAAGTAAGTGCCGGGCTTCTACTGTCAAGTCGCAGCTTGCAGTGGTATGTTCATTTCAACATTTCTGACGAACCTTTACACGACCAGAGCTGCAGGGACAACAGGCTGAAAGTTGGTCTGATTCATGGGAACCTCTGACAGAACACGGAATATTATTGTCCCTCAACCTGACACTTGGTTTCACAGTGACACATGCCGTTTAAGTGACCACCGGTCACCGTTCCCCTCACCCATCAGCTTAAGAGCCCTGTAGCTTTACTTGACCTCTGGCCTCCTGTTGTTATTATGCATAGGATCAACTGTTGTGCAGCACACCCATACACCACGGCCTACATTAAGCTGCACCAGAATCAGAGCTGAAGAAAGTAACGACAGTCTGTTATCCAAACATCATCAGGGCAAAGACACTGATTATGTATATGCTCAGGGCAAAAACAGAGCTGAAGCTGAGCCACAGCTCTGACGGTGGCTAAAACCTCTGGGTCTATAATCGGACAGGGTCGTTCTTTCACGTTTGTGTCCCACATTCTCAGCACAATATCACAGCGCAGGTTAACCGTGCACGTGGTAATCATCCCAATGTTAGGTTACATAAACCAGCTGCAGGACAATTTAATTAGGGAAAAGACTAAAAAAAAAACAAAAACAGCGCATCCGTGGTGACACAGTGCTGCGTGATTTCCTGTTTTAATGACTTTCAGCTTCATCTGGGGGCCTCCCTGCAGGAGTCCGAGCTGAGACTGTGCCAAAAAAACATCTTACAGAAGACAGGGAGCGGAATCACAGGAAGAAAGAGGTCACGATCATACAGACTTAACCATGACCGAGATGTCCGACTATGGAAACAGGGCAAAGAAAGGCGATGGGGTGGAGGTCTCTAAAGCTACTGTTAGTGCAGCAAAGCAGCAGCAGGAGAAGCAAAAATGTCAGGTAAAAAAAAAAATCATTAAACGATGCGGTATTAACGACATCGTTTCCAGGAATAACAAGAGGCTTAACATGAGTGGCGTCCGATAATGGATCTCGTGACGTTACATTGTATATGAATTGGAAGCTATGGCTAAAACTCGAACAGGTTTACACAGTCTGCTGTTTACAGTAGGAACCAACGTGTGCCTTAATACGATATTAAACGGCGTTTAGCGACTGTTTACTGAATAACAGAACCATTGATAAACACACACAGGAACACAGCCCTCCTTCCTGCTTGCTACCACGAAGCTCCCCATGCTAAAAAAAAAACATGCAGCGGCAACAGAGCAAAGACAAAACAACGGCAGTTCTGTGACCAACTCACCCGAAAGATAGCGCCGTTGTGTCGAGCAGATGTGCCTGAATATCAGCGGCGATGGCCCATCAGGGTGACGGCTGCGGTCACGGGGCATCCAGCTCCAGCAGCGGCCAGATAAGACAATCCCAAACGTGGCTTGGCTGTGACGGTTGTCCGTACACTGTCTGCATATGTGTGTGTGTATATGTGTGTGTATGTCCGTTAGTGTGTGTGGAGCTCTCAGAGGCCTTCAGTGTTGCTGCCGCTGGAGGAAATGGTCTCCATTCCGTCAACGAAACACGCATGCGCGATGGACCAACGACGCGGCTGGGGCTGAGTAGAGTGTGAGCACAACCGTGTGGCCAACAGGTGTCACCGCAGTGTCAACTGATTGGCGACTTGTTACAGCAGAAGCAACATGCTGCAGCTGCAGCGCCTACCGCAGGCAAAGCATTGACATTACACACACTCTGTTACGCCTAAATATACTTTTAAAGACCTAATTATTGTATTTTTTTTTTTTTTTACCAAACTCCACTTTTACGAAGATGATACTCAAAGCAAAACAGCGGGATAAAAGACATTTTATAGCTTTTTTTTATTTTCAAATAAAACAGCCTAAATGGTTAAAGTAAGTATTATTGACTGGCCCCGAAAATTCTACAGAAAATGTACTTTCTTTCTTCATTACATGCATTTTAAGTCTAAAATTCCAAAAAGATAAACTGTATTCTATTAACGTATAGAAAAAACTGCTCCAGTAGGATACATTTTCCTCTTGCTCTTTAAAGCATCACTGAAAATTCCAATAATTGTTACGTATCTCAGGAGAGGAATTAAAACTTTGACTTGATGATTTAGTTGTTGTCAGTGTTTGTCAAAGACAACCATGAATAATACATATTTATGTTAAAAGCTATATAAAACATGTTCAGGGGATAAAAAATTACCCTTAGGCCAAATGTGATCATGTTTCCCCATACTGACTGAGACTGCGCTTGAAACAACTGAGCACCGCTTGTTTAGTTTTACACATTTGACCTAAAAGAAAATCCCACCTGGTTTCACAGTCTGTCCCATGTTGAAGTATCCTCTCTTTTAACAGTATGTTCACAACAAAGCAGTTTCTCAGGTAAAAGACTTAATATTGTGTACAAATACGTGAGGCATTGAAAATCACTCTCTTATCACATGTACAGATGTTGACTGGAAATATTGATTCTAACAAGGACAAGTGAAGTGTTCAGAACCCTGCCGTGTGCTACAGCTGCATTATTTAAAGGTGCACGGCTGCCAGTTTGAAAATAGAGCTGTTGTATTTGTTCTTATGAACTTGGAATTGTGCTGATCCATTGTTTTCACACAGGATTAGAATGCTGACACAGACACAGCTTGTGTCACTAAATGTGGCCCAAAATAATGAGTAAAAATGTTTAGTAATAAAATGTCCCTGTACCTACTACTGTATGCTCCAGTCTGACCTGGTCCAAGGTGGTGTTGGCGATCAGTGAGTCTAATTTATACCAAGTGCTAACATCCATAATTTAAATGTTTTTCTCAGAGAAAAACTGAATAAATGAAAGTGAATTATTTGTCATTGTGACACAGCACACAACAAAATGTGACCTCTGTATTTGACCCATCACCAAAGTCAGCAGTGCCATGCTCAGGGCACCTCAGTGGTAACTTGGCTGCTGGTGGAGTTGAACCTGAAACCCACCAGACCCAAGTCCACTTCCTTAACCACCAGGCCACCAAATCTTCAATCTTTAACAACCACTACTTGGACTAACTATCTCTAAAATAACAACGTCACATGTGAAACACTGGTTATGAAACGTGTGGCTTGTGATTGGCTTATTCAGATAAAGCTCTGCTCCAGTTTCTGGGGTCTGGTCGAACGCTCCACGTTGGGTCTAAAGGAGGAAACAGGAACTCAGCCTATGCAGGGTCGACTGGTCACCAGGTGAAAGGTCAGAGACAAAGTTAATGCGGTCAGCATTTTGTAAACACACACACACAAAAGTTGCAGAGGCCTTATCAAAACACAGCAAAGGACAGGAAACCTTTCCCTTTCAAAAACAGGAGGTGTTGCACGCAACATGTGGCAGCCCCGAGGACAATGGTGCAGCAGTGGCCCAGATCGGTGCTTCAGAGTGGACCCACAAGTGTCTGTGGATGTGTACAAAGTTTAGAATAGATTGTAAGGAAACTTTATCTCCAGTACAACCAGGATATACGTGACATGAGTGAGGTTAGCCTCGATCAGGGGTCTGCAACCTAGAACAGTGAGATATGACAGTAAGAGCCGCAAACGCATTTCAACCATTCAAATAATGGCTGTAGAGCAGTGATGAATTTGTTGTTGTTTAAGTTGTTTAACCACAGAAAAAAATCAGATTTGATGCCTCAAAGAGACTAAAGAGCTCTCAGAAGGTCAATCTTCTCAGTGAAAAGGTAAATAACAATAATAAAGGAAGGAACACCAGACGCTTCGTCAGTATAAACAACTAGTTGCACCAGTTAAGCATGAATGACAAAGGCAATGCGGAATAATTAAAACACGTAATCAATAAATAAGGAAGCATGAACATCTGTGAAGAGAGCGTTAAATTAAAAAAACATACAATCACTGAATAATAAAACATACAATCCTCAAATAACCTAGATTAGTAATGTTTCCACACCACACACTGAAACTATTGGCAACAACTAACAATACAGACTCCAATTACATGTCTGACTTACATAATGTTTGTCCACCAGAGGGCAACAACCATCTCCCATAAAGTAGCTCCAGTGTGGCCGTATAGCTGACTTTTTAATCACATTGATGAGGTGCCATATACTGTACACTGTTGCAGGTCTCTTGCTCAAGTGCAGTAAGTTTTCTGCATGGAAAATGCCATTAATATACGAATTCATGCTGCAAATTAAAACATGAATGTATTCATTGATAAGAGACATTAATGCTAACTATAATATCTATTTACACACACTGGTCAGATGTACAAATAAGGAATTTAAAAACAAAACATATCTGAAAATAATAATAATGAAGTACTAGACAATGTTTTTGTCTACAACCACACCAACACACAAGTGTAAATACAAATAAATGCGATTAAACTTGACCAGTTTTTACTTTATGTTGATCTTTATATTTATATTTCTCCTCATTCATTCCAATCCAGTGCACCAAAATACCAACGCAAATTCCTTGTACGTGTAAATGCACTTGGCCATAAACTTGATTGAGGTGAGAACAGAGTTCCTAATCTTGTTTAATTCAATGTAAGTTGTATGAAACCCCCCCCCGACATTTTATTGAATGTAGAAGAAACAAGGCCTCTGGTATTCTCTGACCCAGGATCTGTATTGTTAAGGACCAGTTACCGTGCTCACCCGTCACCTAGTGCGGTCGACAGCTGATAAAGAAGACTTTACCTTAAAACACATGAGCAGAAATGTATGTAGTTATAAACAGTGGGCTGTGCAGCCTGTCAGTGAATTAGTAAAACAAAAAACAAAACAAACAACGCCGCGGTGTCTGTGATCCAGGTATTACAATGCAGAATTAAACTTGATCTGAACTCCTGGTAGTTCAAGTGTAAACTTGAGACACAGAAGTAATACAGTGGTACAAAAAGAAAAGAAAGGATCAGAGACAAGAAACCAGTTTGTCATCCGAGCCACTGCACTGTGCTTCTTTGATCTCAAAATACGATTTCACTGCTCATAAAGGTGCAGAGCAACAACAGCCGACAGGGGAGTCTGCAGTCGGCACGTTCTCCACCTGCAGGACGGCCTGGAGATCGGAGCACTGCTGAGAAAACAAGCCCTGAGGGGGGTCAAAGTTAACGCCACCCGACTCATGTAGAAACACGGTTGTAAATTGGATCGCCATAGAAACTGGAAAACAGACGGTGAAAACAGTTGGACAGAGCCGCGCTGATGGCTTTACGACGACTCTGACAGGCACGTCTGACACACCGCCGTTCATTCCTCCCACTGCAAAATTCAGTAGCTGTGCTGCACAGTCCTGTACGTGAGATAGCAGGTCATGATTTATCGGTAGAGCAATTTAACTTGACACGGGAGTTATTTACGCCCGTCAGTGTATGAATTTCACAACTCGGCTTGAAGAACGCAGTGTGAAATTCGGGTCAAATTATCTCATTTTTTTACAAACCTGACAGAGGCTGTAATGAAATATACTGCAACGTAAAGTAAAAACAATATGTTTCAATGAGTACAACTGTCTACACATCCTACATTCTAGTCTAAATACATCACTGACTGTAAAAGTACATCATGAAACAAGGTTATCTACATAATCTAACGCTACTTTCAGAGCGGGGACGGCATGTGTAATAATTCTAAATTAATCAATCAGTGTCAGTCAATCACATCACCATCATTTGAAGTCAGAGGATGACGCTAAATGTGCTAATATTCTCAGGCTACCTGAGATGATCTCTGTGTGTTGAGAAAAGAGCAGATCAGAGAGAAGGAGTTCAGGTTGAGCTGATTAAGGATGGAGTAGAGGTTGGTTCAATGTGCTGAGAAAAGGAAAAGAGGAAGAAGAACCCCAGGGAAGATTTATGAATGTGGTCCAGGTGGATATGGTGAAAACGTTGAGGAGCCAGTAAAGAAGGTGAAGCGATTCGATGTGGCAACTCCTGGAGGAAGCAGGTGGAGGAAGAGGAGCACGAGGAGGAAGAAAGGGAGGTGAGAGATGGTGGGAAAAAATAAAAGATGGATGGATGAATAGATGAATAGATGGATGGATGGATGGATAAATTTGGTGAACAAAACAAATTGATTTTTTACAGTGGAACCCTGCTAACAGAACATGACATCCTTAAAATCCTTTAAGGAGAATGCAGGTGTGTTTTTAAAGTAGGAAAAACACAAGCGTTAACAAAAACAGACACAACTACGTGTTCAGCACCAGAGTGTGAATGAGTCGTTTAGTGGTTTATGAAAAAAAAAGAAAAAAAAAAGACTCTGTGAACCTTTGCCCACATGAGGTTTGTTAATTAAAAAGACACACGGCACATAAAGACGTGCTAACCGTTAGCAGTTACCTATGTTATTAACATTCCTCCACCATTATCAAAGTCTTGTCGAGCTTCTTGCCAAAACCATGCCACTGAACTCTGGCTTGTTTGTTTGTAAACAGATTTTTTTTTCTGCTTTTTTTCTAATTTCTTGCGGCAGCCATTTGCAGACACACACGGTGCCACACCCTGTTGGGTTTACGACAGTGAAATGTCTTGATAACATTATGAACTGTCGAAACAGGGATTACCAGATCTTACTGGTTACTGCTTTCTATGCAGCTTCCTGTAGAACAGGAAACGTGTGTCCTAATAGAATCTCTTGTACTCTTAAATCAGGTCAAACTGCAAATTAACAGCACATTTCAGCAAATTATCTGTACTTGTTCATTAATTAGAGTTCGGAAGCAATTATCTCCCACTAAAAAAGTAATGGAAAATGGACAAATAAATGAATGATGACATTGACAGGGTGTGATTCCAGTTCTGAACTGTTGCTCTTCATGATGCGTTAGACTTTTTTTCAATAGGAGACAGATCTGGACCGCAGGTCGGCAGGTCAAACACACCATCCTGTTCCACTAAAACAGTCTCAAACATTTTATACTCTATACCACATGAGAAAACACTGAGCTCTCTGAGTACCACCATGATGACCAACAGTAGAATTACCCTTGTTCCACGTTCAACTTGCAAGTGAGCCCATGATTCTGTGCTTGCATTGCAGCAAAAAAAAAGTAAATAAATAAAAAGACCAGACATCCTATTTCATAATCTCACAAGTAGCGACACATTTTTTTCTAAATGTTGTATTAATTGTGCACGGTGTTTCAGATTTATTCAACTGAAAATGTAAATGTGAAAATATGAATTTTCCTCACGTACCACTAGAGAGAGCTCGTGTATGTACCACAGTTTGAGAACCACTGCACTAGATTATTATTAATAATACATTTATAACGTTACAAGCCTTCATATCATATTAGTTTATAATAAAGAAACATGATAGAATTAAGTTTGGGTTTTTTTTAAATCAGAAATGACATTTGTATAAGTACGTGTTGTTCTTTTCTGTTCAACTCAAACACAGTTCTGCATTTGTAAATGATGGCTAAATTGTAACACATGTTCATATGCACTGTGTCATTCTGAATCACATCGTCATCCAGACACCGTCATAAACAACAACTGATTAGAACCAAATCCCAGAAACATGACCTCATGAATAAAGTGAACGCTGTTCTACAGGTAAACACTGGGTTACTTCTGCGGCAGTAACACAGATCCTTACAATGCACCAACCAGGACCCCGACTCCTCTGGGAAAAGAAAACCCTCCTCCTCCTTCTCATGACCTGGTCTTGTTCTCGTCACGAAAGAATCTCTATTTCTCCGTCTGTTTGTCACTGCAGTCTACTGCAACAAAGGGAAGATTGGCAGCCTTAACAAAACATGACAAACACGAGGCAGCTAGAGTGAGACGCCTATTCCCCACCGGGACTGAGTTCACACGCACCGTCACATGCCTACTGACCAACCTCCAACCAGGGACTTCTGGGACGAGGCTGCACTGGGGCTGGACTCCCCCCCCCCCCCCCCCCACGGGGGGGGGGGGGGCCCCCCCCCCCCCCCACGGGGGGGGGGGGGGCCCCCCCCCCCCCCGTGGGGGGGGGGGGGGGCCCCCCCCCCCCCCGTGGGGGGGGGGGGGGGGCCCCCCCCCCCCCCCCCCCACGGGGGGGGGGGGGGCCCCCCCCCCCCCCGTGGGGGGGGGGGGGGGGCCCCCCCCCCCCCCGTGGGGGGGGGGGGGGGGGGCCCCCCCCCCCCCCCACATGGGCAGATGTTTCAGTCAAAACACGGGGCAGGTTAGCGTGACAGAAAAAAAAGGGAAAAAATATCACGGTGTTGAACACCTGCACCACAACGGTCTGTGGTGAGAGACTGAGGCATGGGGGTGACTGTGATAAACAATGCTCTTCAGATATGTCTCTAAAACTATATCGCTGATTCATCAACCTGTTTTTAAAGAAACCACTATTTGCTGCACCACCAGTGGAGTGGCATTATTTCAGTTTGTCAACAGAGATTTGTCTCCAAAGAAATGATGGCCTTTGTTTGAGCTTAAACATCTTTGTGGAAAAGAAGATTGTGCTACAAACTACATAATAACTCTTAGTTGAGTTGGAAGAAGTGCTTAACAGAAGCTGACAACATTAATGTCATGTATAGACTTTCTGTAAAAAAAAAAAATTAAACTTTTTTCTTTCTATCTTTGAGGCATGGCGTTTCGTGGTTATGGCGCCATCTCCTACAAATTGATTAAGACTGTCTAATGCCAACATTCCAACATTAGGGGTTAAAACTAACCAACTAGTTGGAATGAAAGGTAAGACACCTTTTACTTCTGTTGGACCCCAGACATTAGATTCCCTTTCTTAAGTTGCACCATAGCAACGGAACTTCAACGTAAGTCGAGGATGCCCTGTTATTAACTTTTTGTACAGACTGCACAATTAACTCGACCCTGTGTTTTCAAAACTTTACTTTAATGTCAATCAATGGGGTCCTCGTTGTCTAAACTGAACGCTTTGCTCAAGAAAAACACCGTAATTCTTCACACACACCTTTGTTCCTAAAGGCTGGTTTTAGTGTGTACGACTGTGGGACGTGAGGAGGGAAATAAAAGCCACGCTGAGGGTACTGCACTGTTCAGGATCCCTTTGAAAAATGAAGCTGCTGGCTGGGAGCAAAATCCTCAAATATCCTCCTACAGATCCGTGATTCAGTAGCTGAGACTTCAGAGACCCATTAGTGTAGACACTCACGGAAACTTACTCAAATAAACACACACACGTTGTTGATGTTGTTGTTAGCATGCTGATAATTCTGAATCATACTTTTGACAAAGTCACGTAGAGAACGCACACGTACATACACACACCAAAACAAAAGCAAAAGCGATAAGCACGTCAAACTTCAACTGCTTCCTCTCATGCAAACCTCCGCTTTGAGCAGCACGCTCAGAGGAAGTGGGAGTTGAAGACTATGCACTAATTGCCTCCAAACCGTCCCACCAGGTGCACTTCCTAATAACTCTTCTTCTGAGGTTGCTGCAACCAAGACAAACCACTTTTTTTTTGCACGCAATGTCCCCGCTGGTGTCATCACCACACACACCCACATCCACTCTCGGTGTAGAGTGAAAACAAAACTCAGCTAACTGAGTTGTATACTAGCTATTACTAACATGAAGCAGCGGTAAAATAAACTGAGCTGGAAGCAATCCTTCAAGCATGACGAGGAAATCAATGCCACTTGAAAGCGATACACGTTGTCTGGATGTGGGCCATGTGTGACTAAGGCTTAGTTCAGACAGTGGGATGAGGCTCTTCGTCTTCTTCTGGTGCTGTACCACAGTCAGCAGTGATACGGGCCACTGGGTCACTACCACACATAAGGAGGAACACATGGTGGAAGTCGGTCAGGAGCCAAAGTTGGTAGTTGTCCAGCAAATCCTTGATGTCAGTTGATCATTTGAACTGATTTTTTACATTCATAATAACTCATGTGACCATCGCTGCTGAAAATGTACCACAGCTTCACGAACTGATTTTTTACATTCATAATAACTCGTGACCATCGCTGCTGAAAATGGTGGACAAATTATAAATTGCAAATGCTCTCAACAACTGAGAACTCGTACCTCATTTATCAATATCCATTTTTTACCTTCATGTCGAGCACAAAGATACATTTGATCTATAAAGTCTAACAGTTCATCTGAATACCAAGGCAAAAAAAAAAATTGCAACACACTGTACTGTGTTTGTTTAGAAGGAAAATTAGTTTCTCTGTCAAATAAATTACGGATGAAAATGCAGCTAGGAAGTAATAAAACTATGACTTCACCGAGACCCATGAGGTCGTTGTGCTTTCAGCCAAAGTAATAATATTTCTTATGAATGACAGCAGGCAAGTTCGAGCAAAGATCAACCAATCACCGATTCAGACATTTGGGAAAAAGCTGTTGACATTTGGATTAGTTGCCATTTGTGTTGTGGTTCAGCTTGTTAGCACTAAAGAGTTTTCTCTGCGCAGCTGGAATCTCTCACAGCAGAGTGAAGCGAGACAAATAGCAGAACTAAACCGACACAGACGGCAACCTTTAGGATAAACAATGCTCTATAGAAACAGGCCCGTAAAAACCCATATGCCCACATGTTCTGACAACACCAACAGACAGCCGTGTGCTGCACTGTGGATCTTTTTGTTTACTTGCAAAGATTTGGGGTCAAGAAAATTTGGGATTTGTTCCTGCTTCTGAGGTGCTGTTTATGTAAGGCTGTGATTACAGAGTGCAGAGGATGGGGATTAGGATGACAGTTCTGGGAAGATCTAGGTTAGATCCAGGTTAGAAGAAAGGAGGGCAAACGTCTGCTGATTGGTAGACGACGGCTGCTGCTGCTGCTGCTAGGCTACAATCACTGTGTCACCACAGGACAAACTGAAACGTATCTCCTACAAATACAACTTGAATTGCTTGTACTGTGAGTCACTGGATGTACACAAACCCCATGTCAACTTGCTGAGTGGCCTGGGCAGGGAATCATCATATCAACCATCCTGACTCTGTCTATCTACTTTGTCAACCAAAATTACCCATAAATGAGAAACATTGCTGAATGTGTTAAATATTGATGTGGGACTAATTGCGGATATTCATTTATGAAGCCTCTGATCAACATCAGTATTATTCTGAGAGCATTCGTTTGATTCATTATGACATCAATGTGCCAAATTACTGTAGTTCATACAGTGGTTTTCAAACAGCAGGGTTGAGATTAACATTTGTGCTATAACGGTAGGCTGAAGGATGGTGAAAAAGAAGTGCCAGTGAAATATTAAAAATGGTTGACACTGATAACAATCTCAGACATTTTTTAAATGGTCAGTGGGCAGAAAATGTCTTGCTGTCGACCAAACACAGGCAGAAAAGTCATTGAATTACAGCGTGTACTGCTGTTTTAAGAAGAAACTAGTAGAAGAGTAATCTCTCTCAAACCTTAGACTCTCTGATCTGGCTTTATTTTTTTTTCCAGTTATGTAAGTTTCCGTGTTCATTATCTCTGTGAGGAGGTGAGGGTTCAACAGCCACTGCAGTCTAGTCCAGAGTTTCACCAGACTTTTTGAACCAAAGATCTCAAAGAATGCCCTTGTCACTGAAATCATTTTAAACCAAAGATTAAAACACAGACCTAAGCAGTTAAACCTTCAGGCACTGGCACGATTGTTGCAGATTTTGAGCCTGATAGTTCCAATCAAACAATGTTCAATATCAATATTAAATGATGTGTGAAAATGTTCAAAAACTAGTACAGTCTGTACACTGTGCCTGTCCATCATAGGAAGACATATTCAGACAAATAACCGTCCAGTTACATTCATGGTTCTGTGGTCAGTTTAGAGTATCTGGATAAACCCAGTCTTCATGATTCTGGACTGTGGGAAGAAGCTGAATTACCTGGTGAATACTTGTGAACTTTCAGGTGGAACTCCATGGAGAAAAGACCATCGGCCACCACCAGGGATCACACTGGTAATCTTCTTGCTGTAAGGCGAGATTAATAAATCAGAAATTTTCTAAAAAGTTTATTTCTCCCAATGTAAAGTAGAGAGTCAGTTCCATTTGCTAGTAAAACTAATGAGGCCATTCATTTAGTTATTGTATGTTCTATTTCAGGAGACTGTTGTTAGTCAGACTGTTTCCATTAACATTAAATAAAACCAAAAATAAAACCATCAAGACTAAATTAAAGATAATTCTTCACAATGTTCATTTTTCCAGCTGAGAGATTGAATATTAAAGGTCACTGAGATCCTCGTATCTCTAAGGACGTCTGGAAACACAATTCACTCTTTGAATCAATACTTGGTAGTTATTCTATACATCAACAACTTATACGCGCTGTAATCCCCACACAAAAAGTTTCTGCGCTCAGCAGTTTCAAATTCCAACTGGATGCTCGGAACTCTTTGTATCTGTCGTGGCTTCCGACTGGTAGCTCCGATCATCCTCTCAGTTACTTTAGCCCACTGAGAACAAAACGCAGATGACACACCAAACACACACAAGTGAGTAGCGCTGAATAAAGTTTACATACATGTAGACACAAACAGAAATAAAATGAAGCCTGAACAAAAAAAAAAAAGGAAAGAAAAACCGGTAAAACCTGGCCTTCAACCCCAATCATCCTGAGCTCTCACGCTAACTGAGACACAGCGAGAGGCTCAGTCACACGCTACTGTCACTCTGACAGCTAAGGTGCTGCGGACTCTCACGCAAAACAGTGGTAGGTTCAGTCACAGCAGGTTGGCATTGGTGGAAGTTGACTGGCCAGCTGTAGGAGGTTCCTTAAAACCTACAAGAGTATCATAATACCACATTTCACAGTCAGTTATACTTCATAACTGATTGCGTGACAAACCAACTCTCGAGTCTTCGCTATGTTGTAACGTGACCAACACGTGGGGTATATGAAAGCCAATATATATATATATATATATATATATATGCTTTTAAAATAAGACTAAATAAATGAACAGAGTGACCACTAAAGAACAATATGGAATACATTTTATTTACCATTTTTTTAGTTGGGCTTTGTGGTCCTACGATGGTGTAATTTACCATTTTATTTACCATTTTTTTAGTTGGGTTTTGTGGTCCTACGATGCTTTTGAAGAGATTTTGTTTGATTATTCTATTTATTTTATTTTTACAACATGAGGCATTAATAATTTAGTCACAGAAATATTTAAATACAGAAGAAAAAAAAAACAGCAAATACGCAAAAACTAAAACATTAATTAGCATTTACTCCTTTAAGGAATATATAACGGTGACCAAAGAAAAGTCCAAAAGTACAGAAGAAATGACATTTTCTGACTATTTTTTAACACATCACATGGTGCAGGTTGAAGAGTTAGGCAACTGGAGGTGACATTTTCTCCAGTTGGAACGGAACTCTTCCACCTTGACCACGACCTGATGACTGAGAGTCTTCATAAATATCACATGGTAGACGTTTTTTTCTCACTGTACGCATGAAACTGTACTCGTTAGTATTTATTGATTGACTGTCTTAATGTTCATGGAGCACAGTGAGTTTGAATCCTACACTATAGTTGACAGTATCTGCCGAATAAAGTTAACTCTATGGAGCTCTACGTTCTGCACACGTTCTGCAGATGTTCTGCAGAACGTCTAGTGGTTAAATGACGATGAGTCAAAAGGTTCTAAGATTGATGTTATAATTACAAATTATTATTATAAATGAGCTCGTATTATTAGGATAATACAACCTGTCTTATATGAATAATGAGATAATTAAGACCTGTTTCACAGGCTTCTCAGTCAGTTTTGACAATTGCTTTCAATACATCTGTTTCAAATGTTGAGCTGTTATGATCAAAAAGCCTCAAAAATGAAAACAAAATCAATATATTTATATATATTTATGTAAGTGTTTAGACTTAGAAGGAATGTAGATAAATCACTTTATTGTTTTAAAATTAATAACTGTCTTGAAACCTTCTGCATCCTTATCAGATGGGTATATGATAGATACTAGATCATTAATAAAGGATCAAAAGGATCCTCATCAAGTGCTGACATTTACAGACTGAAGTGATTTAAGGTTACTGTCAGCTTCAGGGAAGTCGTCTGGGATTATGCAGATGAAGTTGTCAAAACAAAATCTGTGACAATCTGCAAGACAGGGTTTACATAAAAAAAACCATCAGGCTACAGATAATTTAAGTCATACACAGAGATGTAATACTGATGTAATACTGTACTGTAGTAGGAGTCTGGAGCTGCTTAAAGAGGCCTGAAGCTTCTAAAAGGCTCTGCCGCACTTAAAATAGCAGCCCTTAACTTAATTCACATTCTACTCTCCCAGAAAGATCAGTGCAGATATTCAGAAATCATTTCTGGAATCCACAATCTTTTACAATCGCAGGGCCACCCCTGCTTCCCCTCTATTGTGGCCAAGGGGACTTCTTGGGATCATGGCATTGCGTGTGAAAGAAGCAGCCCTGCCCAGGCCACTCAGCACTTTGGTCCAGTGCAATTTGGGCATTAAGTCCCTGACCATCAGCCTGTGAGCTGGAGATTAAAATAAAAAACTGAAAAGGTAAACACTACTTCCACAATTGATATGACTTTGGCCTTGTGAGCACACTGGGACAACACAGCTTCCTGTCACGGATAGGAGTTGAAGGGAAGGGGGTGGGGGGTCGGGGTGGGGGGTCCCGGTGTAGAGAAGGAAAGAGGGAAGGAAGAGAGACAGAAAGAGTAAAACACAGTGAGAAAGAGAGAGAGAGAGAGGGGTGGGGCGAGGGGGGTGGTTCGAAAAGTCACGAAAGCCTGGCTTTGCATAACCTTCTCTTTAGGAGCAAACAGGGAGGGGAGGAGGAATGTTTATTGATCTTAGTCACACCGTGTGGCTGGGGGGGAGGGGGGGTGGGGGGGGGGGGGGGGGGGGGGGGGAGTGGGGGGTCCCGGTGTAGAGAAGGAAAGAGGGAAGGAAGAGAGACAGAAAGAGTAAAACACAGTGAGAAAGAGAGAGAGAGAGAGGGGTGGGGCGAGGGGGGGGGTTCGAAAAGTCACGAAAGCCTGGCTTTGCATAACCTTCTCTTTAGGAGCAAACAGGGAGGGGAGGAGGAATGTTTATTGATCTTAGTCACACACATATTGTAAAGAGGAACTTTGGTACAAGTCTTTAGCACGCTATGGGAATCTTTTGAGGTAGCCATAGCAAGATTGTGTTTTGTCTTGAGATCTTAGATCCTGGGCCACAGGAAGTTCAAGCAAAAAAACTCCAAGTGTGTGCAATGAATCATAAAAGTTCGGACAGACCCTAATATTCACATCCAGGAGGACGAAAGACAAGAATGACTTGTCTTCTTTTCCTTTCAAGCTCAGGAAAAGACAGAGAAAAACGCAGTTAATTTTTTTTTACAACCAGACTGAAGGCTATTGTACAGTGTCCATAAGCTTATCCTAGTGGCCTCTGACTTCTCTATTGTTTGGTGATCCCGAGTGTGAAAGTGAACTGGCTTTAACGGATTCCAGGCAGAGGACACAGAGCTGCTCAGGCAGACATCCTGCTGACCGTATGCTGATGAGAGGAAATGCTGTTTTTAACCCTAATCTTATCAGGAAGGTTAAGCAACATTCACATTTTTTTACAGCTAAACAAAACAGGAGATTGCAAATGTACCTCTTAGCAGCAACATACGTCCAAATGTCCTTAAATGAACGAATTCCACTGGTCACTATAAACAGGAGTGCATTTCGCTTCATTCCATTGGCCATTAGTTTTACTTTGTTTGTCACAACATCCAAAAAAAAAACACATTTAGGGTACATTTGTAATTATAACAAATCAACCATTGTTAATAATCAAGAGTTTTCAACAAATGGACAAAAATACAGAGACTGCATGTGGACAACACCTTCAATATTACTTTATATAGGACTAGAGAACTATAACCAACTAAAATATAATTTAGACAATATGCTGATTACAGCATTTGATGCTTATATGGTGCAAAGATAAATTACATGTAAAAGTCATGCTAAAATGCTTTTAGCCTGTTCTACGCCACCTATCAGTGAAATGCGGACAATGCAGGGAAAAGGCAGAAGTATAATAATAATATAAATTAATAACATAATTGGACAAGTTTGGCGGGCCGGATTAAAAATAGTTTTTTTGGTAGTTTCCCTGAGCCTGGTCTAAATTATTATTATAGGCCATAAGCTGAACGTCTTGTGAGATTTCAGTGCTCAAGTCATCTGCTTTTTCTGCCGAAGTTGGCTTCATTTTGGTCAGACCCTTTGCCAGTGTTTGTTTTTTTTGTGACAAACAAAATCACATAAAAAAAATAACTGACTTCCACAGAGAAGTTTATATCTTTAGGTAAAAAAAGTTCAAATGTATCTACATATTGTTCTGGTTTCAACCATGGTTCCTGTCACTAAAATGTTGTTTAAATGTTAAAGAATATCTACATTAAATAAGGCCAAGCTGTAAGGTAATGCTGCATTGTTTCTTACATTGCTCTGCACTGTCATGCTGAATCTCATCTTACGGTGACAAAAGAAGATGGTTGGGTAATTTCTCAGATGCCTCCTCATTTCCTTATGTCACTGAACAATATCTATTTTATGTTCTTTAACAGAGAAGCACTGTGTGACTATTTGTCGGGGAAGTTCCTATAATGTAACTCATGATTCCAAAATGAGGTAAGATTCCACAGCCCTGTGTGTTGATGTTAAAGACAGCATCACAATGAATAAGCATAGATATAAATAGCCCAAAATAAGACAGCCGTAGCATCTTCATACCACTTATTTTTGTCATTATTAAGAAGTCAGAACAATTGTAAAGAAACTGTCTAATTCTTCTAATTTTTGTTACACCTGTTATTAAAGTTGTACATAAAAAGCATTAACTTCTTCCTAGAGTTTTTAATTCCCATAATGCCTAAAATTTAAACACTTTAAAAAAAAATCTAAGTTAGTAAGAAGAGGGCCCTAGTGGTGGGGAACAGAGAAGCTTGTTTTTTAAGACAAAGTGATTCCTTTCCTTACTCAATTTCCTGTAAGTTAAGCAATTAATTCTTACCTATTTGAAACGGGGGTTTATTTGGAATTTATTTTATAAAATTGTTCATCATTTTACAATTTCTAAAATGAAATGTATGGTGTCATGATATGAGGCTTAGCTCCTTCAGAGCTCCCTGACCAGATCAAGGCTTGTTGACTGCACTCTGGGCATCAACAAATGTAATAGTTTAACTGCACTACAACAATAAAATAAAAAATGGCTAAAGTTTGAGATCAAAAAGCTCTAAACTGTACCAACATACCATATTAACATCCTTTTCTTACAATGTTTCTGGACAATGAGTATTAAAACCATCACTGCTACATCATGGAGGCCTTCAAGTGCAACTTACTTATTTTTGATTAATTAATAATAAAAAAGTATTATAGACACAGGGACCATACAAAAAGGGATGTCATTTACTACCCACATTTAAGAGTGTTCAAAGACAAATAAAAAAGATTCCTCCTTTGAGGATTATTAGGTATGTGGCGAAGATTTAAACATGTAGTCACATCGCATACTTTCGCCCTGACTGTGCCGTCATGGTGAAAGTATGTGATGTTAGTTCAGTTCAGATTAAAATAACCAAGGATTAGTCACAGATTTTAATCTGCATCCCTTGTCCGATGTTAACAGATAAATATTATTTATATCTAACAAAGGCAACTCCTGCTTTAACGAGCAGAACGGCACGTCTCACTTGGTGAAAACGAGAGCTTTGGCGGTATCTTTAAGCAAACCAACTTTTAACTAAAGATCCATGGATACAAATAAATGTTTTACCTCTTAAATGAGAAAAACATGTAGTAACGGTTTTACTTTAGATGTAAACTTAATCTTAGGGCACACATTGAGAGGTGAATTAATACAAATATCATCAGTGTTGACGTTTTTGATTTTGAAGTTTCAGCAGTTTCTGTGTTTTTCTTACCTGGACATGACTGAGGAAACAGGACACTGGGTCCCATTATGATACACCTGTCTACGTCACTCACTGAGAAATTCTCCATGTCAACCAGCAGTTTGTAAACAAACACGTCTCTACCTGGCTGTGGTCTTTCTGTTCACCCTGGCTCTGTAGTTAATTAAAACACAAAAGTAATGTTTAATTTATACCAACTGCAAAAATTACTTGATCATAAACGATTTTTATATTATTATTTGTTCTATTCTATATAAATAATCCTAAATATGTCTTACAAATAAAAAAATACAAGATAAACCCAGTTAATTAGTGGTTAAGTTGTTAAACAAAAAATAAATGAAAAGGAACAGGGCACACCGTTGTAGAAAAAAAAAATTACTATTCATTGGTTTGACTTTATGAGGGTGAAGTGCAATAAACAGCAAAACCAATGTGTTGTAAGAATAAAATGTTTTCAAAAATGTTTCAAATAAAGGCTAAGTGAAAAATAAAAACTGTAGTTACAAGTGGGAAATGGAAAACGTTTAGGCAATACACGGTGAACATATATACTGTATATATAGTATTATATTAGAGCTAACAACGTTAGCTTTAGTTCTGTCACCGTTCTCTCACGATTTTATTAACGGTAACACAATTCTTTCAGTGTTTGCTCATGACAAAAATACAGTCTGTCTTTAGTCGAACGAAACTATTTGTAAAAGGTTCTACCTTGGCGCAGCTAAACTTGTAGCGGTGTCAGACAGAGCCGTTACAAGTTCTACCTTGGCGCAGCTAAACTTGTAATCACAGCCGTTACACAGTTACAGCTGTTGAATGTCTGTGCCGCGTTCCGGGTTGGTGCGTGACGTCATTTCCTTTAAATCTCACGTGGTTTTGTTGTGATTATTTACACACTTATTATGAGTGTCTACATTCAGCATGTGTTTCCAAATTCAAAAATTACTAAAAGTACATCTTGTTTTTTGTTTCCTTTATTTGTGCTACCGATTTAAGGACGCACCAATCTGATATAATTACATGATAAACAATCGTTCATTTATTTAAGAAAATAATACAAAACCATATAGCTTACTAAAATTTTCCTGGTAATCCATGGATATGCACAGGCAAAATTACCATTCCAATATATACACATGTGGAACATAAGAAGAAATACATATCACTATAAAAAGAAATCAATATAAACATAGAATCACATTTGGGGATACTATCTTCAGTGTCTTATGTTGACATTGACATTTTTAATCAGAAAAAAAAGCTTACAAGTATACAGTATGTGTGTACGATAAGGTGATATATGTTTTTCCTCAAACATTTTTTGCAATGGCCTAAATGGCAATCTCCATCCAGTTAAACATACAAAAGCTGAACAAGGCAACCCTCTGTTTGTTCTACAACTTCTGTGTGTAAACACTTTAAGTCACTGGACACCACAACAGAGAACCATACTTCACGGAGAGGCATCCGGCGTGTGCAGGAATATCTCTCGTAGAGCCAGAAACATGACAGGAATGTGCTTACATGAACCCTGATCACATTTGACATTTAGCAAACGTGTTTCATTCATTTGCTTCATTGACATGAGTTCTGAATCAAATCTGACACTCGGTGCCCTACATTCATAAAAAAATGCTTCTTCCACTGACTCCTAACATGGCTGTGACCTTTACAGTTCACTTCTTGCTCTCAAGGTGGCCTGTAAGTGGCACCGTTTGTGCTTCATTGTCAACCCATACTCAGGGGTCAAGTCCAGCAGCTCTCCTGGTTTTGTACGGAACTGAAGCCTCTGGATAAGGATTGCCAAGAAAAGAAAGACTTCATTTCGTGCGATGACCTCGCCAATGCAGCGTCGCTTTCCAAGGCCAAATGCCAAGACCTTCTCTCCTTCCAGCTTGTTGACCTCCGTTCCATCAGAGCTAAGGAAGCGTTCTGGTTGGAATGAAGACGGGTCTTTCCACAGCTCACTAAAAATGTATCAATAGAAATTTTTTTTATATAATATTATTTCACATATAAACTTATTTAACAGCAATCCCTCAATTCAAGACGCATCAGCTGACTGTGTTTTATCAACTTGCAATAGAGAAAAATGTCAATATAAAGGAAGCTGCACACGTCACCCTTAATTTCAACTTTTGGATAAAGATTTATTGAAATCGAGTAAAACAACTTACGGATCGTGGTTGATCTGCCACTGATTAATGAAGACACACGTGTCTTTAGGAATGAAGTAGCCGTTCAGCGATGTGTCTTTTGAGGTACTGAAAAAGAAAAGTTTGTGTTTCCATTTTGAATTCTGTAAAAACCATTCTATTAAACCATTCTATCTTTTTTTCACATTCAAATTCTTCCCAGATACTTACCAGTGTGGAATAGTAAAAGGTAGAAAGGAAGAGTGACGCAGCATCTCCAGGAAAAAGGCCTCCAGTAAAGGTAGATTGTGTTTATCTGACAGAACAGGTGAGCGGTCCAGGCCGATGTTACTCTCTGAAAAATAAAGAAGGGCCGGTTATTTTCAAGAATGAGGAGTTTCACTTTAGTCCTATAACTACTTAGCCCACACATGCAGTGTGTGAAACAGATGAACTTACCTATTTCTTGAAAGAGCCTCTCCTGTAACTCTGGATTGGTCACTAAGTACATCACTGACCATGATAGGGCAGTGGAGACAGTGTCAAACCCTGTATGGTGGAAACATGACCTCTGTTAGGACGTCAGTGTTATCTTTTGCTCACTGATTAATAGATTATCATGTTGACCCACCAGCTCCAAACAGGTCATTGACAATTCCCACTATCTTCTCGTCTGATAATTGGATATTGGAATTTTCATCTAGTTTCCTGTCCTCACAGTGATCAATGAGTGAGTCTGTAATGTCACGGATGTTGTCCTGAAGGAGAGAGATAAAAGATCAGTCTCAGCAAAGCTTGAACAGACGGCGAGAGAAAGAACAGTGGGATGGACTTGACACGAACTCATGAATGTGAAACATACCTTGTTGAAGGTGGCGTAGTGCTCGCTGACTATCTTTTCCACAAACGCCATGAAACGATCGTTGATGCTCAAAAACTTCTTCATGGTGGTGCTGGGCAAGAATCTCAGAAGAGGGATAAAGTCGGCGGGGTTGCCGCTGCCCACGACCTGAACAAACTCATCACTCAGGTTCACTAAGCTGAGCAGCTCCTGGTCATTGTGGTCATAACGTCGGCCAAAGCACATTCCACAGATCACATTAGCCACCGAGACAACAATGTATCGGAACGGGTCGAAGCTGCCCTCGGCCATCATGACACTGTTGATCTGTTTGATCAGGTACTCTCCCTCTTTGCAGACGTGTTCTTCCAGAACACAGGAATACTCTGGGGTTGTGCCCCGCAGGCTGGAAAACGAGCGCAGGGCGCTGTAGGCCAGCTTTCTGCGGGCACGCCAAACGCCAGCCTGGTCCGTACTGAAGGCCAGGCTCTTGCCGTTATTGATGAAGCGAAAGCTGTACAGGTCAGGTCTGCCTGCGAATTCCTCCCCTTGCTTGATGAGAGCCTGTCGCACCACATCACTGCCACTCAGCACCACTACAGGACGCATGCCAATCTGGATCTGGAACACATGGCCGTACTGCTTGCACATAGCAGTAAGGCTCAGGTAAGGTTTGCTGCCAACCTCCAGCACGTTTCCAATAATGGGCAGGGGCTTAGGTCCAGGAAGCCGACGAAGCCCCGGAGGAATCTTGGTTTGGAAAACTTTGAAAATCATGTAGACCAGACACATGGTCGTCATAGCTACTAAACTCTCAGAAACCGACACAGCTCCAATGAGTGGTAGTATCATTAGCGCCATGTTGATAAATCTCTTTTTTTTTTCTGGCTTCAACACAATCTGGAAATCAAATAGGTGGGGCATTAGTGTGTGAGGCAGGGAGGTGAGGAGGAGTTGTGCAACATGTTGACGACAATGCACCACAAAATTCAGAGGTAGCCTTTCTATCTGCTGCCGTGAAAACAAGTTTGATTTTTTTTCTCATTCTATTTTTTACTCGACTCATATGCATATGCGTTTATGCAAAACATTTTAGAAGATTTTGCAAAACAGTCTTTGAAAAAAATTAATCTATTCAAAAATTCAAAAATTATTAACCGCTTAAAAATATGAACTAGAAAACAGTAGAAATGTCCTTTTACACATGTCCAGGTTCACTGAAGCTGGAGGTGCAAAGAGCAAACTCACTTTTTACACGTGACACTTGCAAAAGAATCACTACTCAGCACTTTCCTGCACCCTGAGCATGAATCAAATCATGTGCGCAATTTCACTCACCTTCAAAGACACAGTCGAGGGAAAAAGACGAAGAATATTTTTGAAAATTGCTGGCAAAACAGGTAAGAGAAAAAACAAATAGTTGCCGATGTGCAAAGTCGAACTTTACTTTCTTGATGTTCCAAAAACAGGGATTGCGCTCTGACTTTATAGAGCGCTCCGCCACTTCATTGGCTGCTGTGCATGACGTAATCTCTGTTTCTCTCAATGAAGTTTAGAACAGGGAAGGGGTGTGTAGGTGTTTGTGTCTGTGGTGCGTGTGTGTGTGAGTGTGTGTGTGTGTGAGTGTGTGCGTCTCTCTCTCTCTCTTTGTGTGTGTGTGAGAGAGAGATTTTTTGTGTGCGTGCAAACACTATTTTGCTATGTGTTTTTCGATTTTTTTGTTATTGACGCAAATTGTTAACATAAATATGACTCATTTTTCTGTTCTTGTGGACAGAGGTCACCCTGAGGTTAGTTTAAAACTAATAATTAGGACTAAAATAAAATGAACAACAGGTAGGAATGTAAAAAAATAAAATAAAAATATAAGTAGCATTCATGTGCATCTTTAATATTTTTCATATATTTCAACATAATATTCATTAAAATGTTGCCATAATGTGTAATTCTAGGTGCATTACACCTGGGTGATGAGGCGGACGTCGTGGTTAAATAAATGCCTTTGACGAGATGATGGTGTTTGTAACAATGGTAGTTTGTCTGAGGTCACCAGAATACACGAACACTCTCAGTGCATATGAAAAGATCAACAATGCTCGGCTTGGCTCCGTGAAAACGTCAGTCTGTCACAGCCGCCACACGGCAACCACCCAGACTGGTTCAAGTTCCGATAAAACACTCAAACGCTATTGCGTGCAAGTACCTGTTGTCGGCTGGAGTTAAAGATTGACCAGTTGCGTGAGAGCGCATGCAGTGATCGAACCTCTGCCTTCGAGGAGGATGCTGCACGGGGGAGGAGGGAGGGAGAGGAGGGAGGTGGAGGTAGGAAGTGCACGCAAGGGGGGGTTAACATCGTGACTCTGACCATTTCAACATCTTATTACTAAATTTTAGATGTGTAACAGACGAGATGCGAAATACTAGGATGACGTCATCTGATCTCGGTCTAATGAGACAGAATTGATCGTATTGGAGTTTTGAATACGTCACAGGTGAAGCACGCATATGTTCAATCATCTCATACACATGTGTGTTGCATTGATTTCACTTGAATACCTTTAATGAGAATAATGCAAAATACAAACAAAAACACGTGAATTACTACAGTAATGTATATCAATAAGAAGTTTTACTCTGATCGTCATCAAAACTCCCATAATGATCTCAGTTTAGGAGGAAGATTATGTCCGAAATTGGGACGCGATTTGCAGGAATAGGAATATTACCCAGACGTTCTTCATGTATTGATTAATCTGTTTTATTATTATTATATTATTATTATTATTATTATATAATGAACTTTTCCATAAGTAAGAGCTACAGATGTGACTGTGACCTGATGCCCAGTTTCAGGACACTGTCCTCGTTTGACATCCAACTGTCCTGTACATGAATTTAAAATGAAAATATTGTGGATGTATCGTTAAAGATGACTTAAAGAGTGCTAATAATAACTTAGATTTCTGCAAATATAATAAATATATAGAGTAAATATATTTAAGGGAAGACGTCATCCTTATATATATATGTATATATATATATGTATATATATGTCTCAAAAGATGAGGTGCACATTAGTCTCATTATTCCCCCCAAGTCAACGTTTTTCATGGTCAAGTGTGTCTGTTGGAATATTTAAAACTGACCAAAAATCACTTCAAACACAGGCACGGTGTCTGGGAATATAAATAGACAAAACTCTGGCATCGAACTTCTCCTGGGCTCTTTGTGAGGGCTCCACGTCCAGCTGCTGTGTCGTAATGAGCCGCTAAAGTCACGCAGGTGAAGGGTTTTGGATGCTGGCTTCTTGTGCGTAATTCGCGCCGCGGCGCTGTGCCGTGCGGATCCGCCGCACTGCGTGTCGATTCCCGGGAGACTCTCTCTCTCTCCGTGCGCCTCCACGCTGCGCCTCTGGTGCTGCAGGTTGCGTGAGAAGCGGAGCAGCCGTCCAGAGGGGAGGGTCTCGGTCTTCTGGACAATCCTAAATCTGCTTGGTCAAGTCACGCGAAGGCAGCAGCCTCTGGAAAAGACACAAGGGTCTTAAACCTGCAGAACAAAGAGCGCGGGACGCCACAGTCCCTTTCCCCCGCGGCCGGGGCACGAAGGTGCACGTACAGTGTTTGCGCGCAATAGCTGCCGTGAATGCGAGGATCTTGGGGCTTTGGAGTCATGCAATCTGCCACTCAGGCTTCGTTCTCTGCAGTCATGCAACGCGGTGTGGGCCTGACGGATCAGCCTGAGAGGACCGCGAACCCCCTCCAAACCACGAAAACAAGTTACAAAACTCAAGCCTTTAAAATGTGTATGTAAAAGAGTTACGTCTCTCTCTCTCGCGTGCGTGTGAAGCCCGGAGCTTCAGGGAGTGTAGTGAGATTTGATTTTTTAATACTCATCAATGCTGACATATGTGTGATATACATTTAACACAACAATATATCAATTTACAAAGAAACATCATACAATTTATGCTTTTTTTTCTTATGGTGAGTATGAGTGACGTGAACAACCTGTCAAACTACGGGTAAAAGTTTGAGTCAAAGTAATTAAAAAGATTTAAAACTTCTTATTATTAGACCTAAACTGACCTCAGGGTGAACTCTGTCCACAGAAAACGGGAAGTTTTTTTAGTCAAAATTTGTGTTAATATTAGCGGAAAAATACAAACAAATGACAAAATGGTGTGTGTACACGCACGCACACACACATTTCAGTGGATCATAATGAACCACAATAAACAGGTTATTGACAGAAGAGCTGCACCTATGTTCAGGTAAAGTCAAAATAAATAATAACTAAAGAGAGAGAGAGAGAGAGAGAGAGACTTATAGTGAATGAAACTGATTAAAGATGAATGTGACTGTGTTATTTGACTGTGTTATTTGACTGTGTTATTTGACTGTCTACGGTGAGAGCCGGTCCAGATTGCAGGTGTTTAGCTCTGTGTGAGTGTGTGTGCAGCAGTCATGGTTCCAGATTGATCAGATCTAAGGATTTGTCTCCTCCACTGTGAGAAAGCTGAGATGTGTGTCAGCAGGAAGTTTTTTCTTCTGGATCAAAAAAAAAAAAACAGCTTCCTGTTCTGGCCTAAAAATGAACATTTGTGAGAAAAACTTTTCCTTATTTTGTCTTGGTTCAAAGCTGCGGCTGCTTTATTGCATCATCGAATCATCACAAAGAAGACCTGTAGCTTCTTTTTCTCAACCCTCGGCACAAGAATCACAGAGTTTAAACATGAGGGAGTTTTTAAAGGTTCAACGTGTTAAAAACTTCTGTTCCAAGTTCCAATAACATGAACTCTACAAAAAGACAGAGCAAAAACCTCCAGACGTCTTACAGCCAAAGATTTGTCTGAATGAACTTGTCAAGCAACACAGTGTTAAATAAGGTGAGCATCTTTTTTTTTTCTTAACTTCTTAAGAACATCAAACAGATTAGAGTCTGTCACTGAAGGTAGATGGAGACGGCAGATAGAGCTGGACAATGGCCTGCAGATGTTTGCTGCTCGCCGTGTCTCATGTCCATTTTATTAGATTGGAAAAGTGGAAAAAAAAAAAAAAAAGGGAAAAAGATATTTAGCCCAGAGCCATAAAGCACTTAAAGAATTCTTGGACATAGAAACAGGTGTAATGACTGTGAAGGTTGTTAGTTTCTACTCACGCAAAGGTTGTCACGCACACATCTTCAGAGCAGGTGTGTACCTCCGCTCCACAGTGTGAATTTCTTTCTGTGCATACCGCCATGGTTTGAGGCTTGGATTCTTTTTTTTTATCTCACAGAATTAAATGCAGCACATCTGCCTTTTCTCTGAAATACAAACATTACTAAATATAAAATTAAATAAAAAAAAAATCCAAACAGAAATGAACATAGTTCTTGTTATTTAAAACTAACTAAATATAAAATTAAATAAAAAAAATCCAAACAAAAATGAACATAGTTCTTGTTGTTTATAACTGAATACAGGAAGAGAGATTCGTTTTTAACTTCAAGGAAGTTAGAAAACTTCCTTGAAAAAGTTTCTCAGTCATGTATTGACTGTCAGGTATCACATGCATCACACTGGTGCCTTCAGTGCTGCAACAATAGACCACACTGTGTATGTGTTCCCAGGACTCTCAAGGCTGAACTCAAAATAATAAAACATTGTTTTTTTTTAACCAAACAAAAATTATTTTATAATGATACCACAGCAGCTACCATCTGTGACAAAGTAGTACTACTGACTTTGAGGTTTTACTTGACTTACTACTCTACAGTTAGACTGAACAGGTTGAATAGAAGTACACACTAAGAAGGAAAGGTGTTATTTATGAACTTAATTTAGTCAATATGATCTTAAAACATATAATAATAATAATAAGAAGAAAAAGAATGACAAATATAATAATTTTCAATAAAGTTCATCAAACATTCATTCTTTCTCTTTGTTAAAGATTTGTACAGTGTTGCTGTTTTACACATGGGGCAAAGCACAAAGAAATGTTTCAATTATTTACCTGTGTTAAACTTTGTTAAATCAGTTCAAATAATGCCGCCATTTTCCACCCTTAGGACTGCAGTGTCAGTATCAACAATAACAATAAATGAATAAGGTGAGAAGAAGAAAAAGATGTTTGGTCAAAAAAAAAGGATTTGAGCTGCCCTTTTTGAAAAAGATAAGGCTAAAGAAACTGTCATATATATAAATAAAACGTACTGATTTTAAGCCCTTTTTGAAGCCAGACCTACGTTAGTGTGGTGACACTGTCCTTCATTCTTTTTGTACTTTTGTACTACTATACTCTTGACTTCTGTAAAATCATCAAAGTTCTCTTCTTAAAAGAAAACTGTTTCAATAAGAATACTGTACAGACACTGTGTGTTTGCTGTCGAAGTGAACAGTGGCCTGTGTGGCTGGGAGAAACCCAGTGAAGGTGAACAGGCCCCAGCTCTTGCGTGTGTCCAACTAAGCAAACGTTAATAGGATTATTTTGGACTGTGGGTCATGAC